CTTGATGCGTTCTTAACCTTCGGGCCACTTTTCATAGTGGCTTTGGCATTAACCTTGGCAGTAGCGATGTTCTTTTGGGCTTTCTTGTTTGCCTGATCCTTAGGGGGAGCAATGGAATATGACAAAGAGGAGTCTTGATGGTAGGAGAAAGAGATGAGAGGCAGAGGATGTCCCACCGGGCGTGCCAGAAATTTGTACACACAAAATTTGTGTCTGCAAATTAAAGAACGAAATAGGGAGTAAATAATAATTTTATTAATTTTCAATAGATAGAAGGACTACAATCCTTTGTAGTATTTTTTACAAAATATAAAATCTTCTAATTCGATCTCCTTTGTTGGTATTCAAGGGCTACACGAGCTTGATCTTGAATCACCGTGCAATTTCGATGAAGAATAACACGATTTGATGTGCTTGTTGTTGATCACCATGGAATGTTGATGAATAATGGCACAATTTGATGTGCATGTTACTCTTCGTCTTCAGGTTGGGGATGAATGTCGGAAGAGTTTTTGTATTTTTTTCTCTGAAATTTTGATTTTTAGAATTGTCAATTTATGGACCCCTTCCTCCATGCCTATATTTATAGACTTCTTGGATGGATAGGATGATGGCATGTGTCCTTTCTTGATAAACGCACAATTATAACTAGGCCGGTTAGTTATATTGTGATAATTATCCATTAGAATAATTATTTCTTTAGTGAGAATAATTATCTTTTTATTTAACTAACTAGGCTAGGCTAATTAAATAATTTAAATTGACCAAATTTGGGTTAATTAAATATGACACCCATGTTTGATGGACCAATTTGTCAAGACAAAAGCCTATGAAATTTTAGTGTCTACACATCATATAATGGGTTAAGTGCTAAAAACCCCACCAATATATAGGGTCTGTGCAAAACTAGTCCTTATTTTTTGAAAATGTGCATGTTAGTCCATAAAATTCAAAAAAGGTGCAAATAAGCCTATCTGACCACTTTTTGACAAAAACTAAATATGAAAACCCTGTTTTACCCTTTTGATTCCCATTTTGCCCCTTACTCATATGTGCATATAACCCCCTTATATGGCTCGGCTCACTGGTACTGGCTGAACGGCTCGGCTCACCGGAGATGTGACCGAATTCTTGCCGGAAAATTCACCGGAATCAAATTTTCACCGGAGAAGACGCGAGGGGCGCGTGACAACGCGTGAGATCTACGTGTAGAACTTCAGGTGGTGTATGTAGGCGCGTGTAACGTCGTCGATGGCTTTTATTTGCAGCGCCCTGTTCGTCTTGGTCTTGTGGACCTTATTTTGCGATCAAAATGTGGTTTTGATCACGTTTTATTTCTGCGTTGTTGCCTACCAAAGCCTTCTCCCCAACGTCGTCCGACTCCGACCACTATAAGTGGATCGGAGTCGCAGGGATGGACCATCCCCGAAACCCTAGTTGACTCCACCACGTTGAATTTCTTCAACGCGATGAATTCCAATATCGTCGGTCCAATTACGATAATTTTATTTTTTTATTATAATTTTTTTGATATTCTTTTTGAATCTATTCTGGATCGACATTCATTGAATCAGGATATTCCGAGAGAGTAGTTCTTCTGGCACTACTAAAAAGCTTCAAGACTAATTGTTATACGTGTTAGAAGTAGGGCAGGAAAGCTCAGATACTATAAGATTTTTCCCTTCACAAGTCTTTAGAAAACTCCCTTTCAAGCGGGTAAGTTTTTAGCCTTTTTCAATCTTGTTTTAATAGTCCACTGAACACTCACCAAATCTTGTAGAAATAAGTGAATAAGCATGCACCGTAATCTACTATTTCTCTTATCGGAGTTCATGTGTGATTCTAGTTCTTTCTCTCTAGACCTCTCTCTCAAATTCAGCAGTCAAATAGACAATCACATTGTAAAATTCGAAACTGTTTCTCTCTCTACCCAAAAAGGCTATAACTTTATTTCTCTCTCTCTACAAACCCTATTGATATGCACTTGGAGAGAGAGAGCAATACAGAGCTTTCTGATGTTCAACGAATTAAACCCTCGAATAATATCAGAAATAGAAAAAAAAAAAAAAAAAAAAAAAAAAAAAGGCAATGTTAGAGAGAGAAGGAGAGAATGTTTAGAGAGAGAAAGAGAGGAGAGAGAGAGTGTGTGTGTATGTGTAGAAGTTAATGGGTGGCAGTTTGTAAAGACAGAATGTAAAAAAAAACTTCCTTCTCTTTTTTAGAAGGGATAAAATGGTCATTTTACATGTCTTGTATTTATAATCATTAATTTATTCAATTAAAGTGAGGGTATTATTGTCATTTTACACCACACGAAACCTATTTACACCATATTGATAATATGGGAGTTTTTTACCATACAGAACCGATATTGCAATATAGTAGAGGGAATTTTTTACACTTAACCCTCATGATATATATATATATATATATATATATATATATATACAAAAATGCAAAATATATATTTGTTCCTCAAAACAAATATATATTTTGCATTTTTGAGGAACAAAAGTGTCCCACACAATCATCATTAGGCAACAACGTAAAGTGGAATAATAAAAAGACCTAACCGTAGAGGATCCGAGTCCTAGTATGGCATCAAACAAATCATGGATAATCATGAGAATTGACGTTATTGCTTGTATTCTGGTAATACGGGTAATACTATCAATTAGTATAAATAAGATTTGCTTTGCTTATACTATCATTGCTAGATTCCGTTGAATTCAATACAGTAAGATTTGCTTTGAAGATACCGATTTTCTTTTCCATTTAAAAAGGTCAACTTTTTAAAATAGTCATCATAATGCCAGATATGCTTGTTGGCGTATTCATTTGTCGGGAAAAAATGTCATAACAATTTCCCATTAATAAAAAATTTAATTTGTTTTCCCCCTTCAACCAAAGGCTTTGTCTAGTTAGGTGAAAACAGGTGAAAAAGAAAGAAAAGAAAAAAAATTGTCGGAAAAAAATGTCATAACAATTTCCCAATAATAAAAAATTTAATTTGTTTTCTCCCTTCAACCTAACACTTTGTCTAGTCAGCTGAAAACATGTAAAAAAGAAAGAAAAGAAAAGAAAAATTAAATTTTTTTAAAGTTTGAATAGATAAAAAGATAAAACTAAAGGAAAATTTTGCTTTCATACTTGTCTATTTTCTCTGAAAACTTTTCATGCACAAAGGAAAATAATTTTTTCACGTGAACTGTTTGCCTTTTTATTTGACATTCCTATTTTACCCATCAACTTAATCGTAAAAAACAATTTCTTCCTTTATTTTTGTAGTGGATTTTTAAGAGGAAAGTTCTCTGCGAAATAACTCTTTTTTTTTTTTTTTTTTTTTTTTTTTTTTTACAAGTTTATATATAATTGGCAACAACAAAATACAATCAAATCTCTCTAAAAAAAAAATTATTATTGCCATCAATACATCTCCATATTTTTTTTTAAGTTTCGTTTGTCTTATTTTAAATATAAATAATTATATTATTAAATTTAATAATCCATTATTTTACTATTTCTTTGCTAAAATAGACATCAACAAATACAAATTCATTTATTTATTAGTATTTAAAATTATAAGGGTAAATTTGGTATCTTTAATCAATTTCTTTTCACTTTCATGCTATCCAAAATCACAAATTAATATTTTTCTACAATTTGTTTGAATAAATTTTCATTTTAACCAAATGCATGTTTCTATTCACTTCACTTTTCTTTTCCTAAAAAAAAAAATCTCTACTTTTTCGAAAAATTATTTAAAAAGTTATTTTCTCATCAAATAAATCAGAATCCAAATTTACTCTTATATTTTAAATTTTTAATAGACAATGATAGAATAAAATTGAATTGGATTAAAATTATGTTTGAAAGTACTGAGTAGGCGATTTTGAAATAGAATTAAAGGAAATTTAATTTAAATTTTTTTGGTTCAATTCTAAGATGCTGATTGGTACTTATGAACATAATAATTTTTTTATATAATTTTTTTTGGTTCAATTCTAAGATGCTGATTGGTACTTTCGAACATAATAATTTTTTTATATAAATTTTTTTAGTTCAATTCTAAGATACTGATTGGTACTTCCAAACGTAATAATTTTTTTATGAAAAAAAATTAATGAAACTATATTTCAAATAACTAAATGTAAGTACGTAACCATAACGCATCTTTATATTTTCCTAATAATTATTACTTGCCTCTAACAGGAAGAAAATCTTGTGATGAAGACTATGGAAGTGACATGTACGGAAATTTATTTTAATATTTTTTAAATTAATTTTGTTATGAAAAAACTCTTTCAAGTTCTAGGGCTACTGAAATAATATATTACTTTTGGACCAAAAAAAGGAAAGAATTAATGTAATTGCCAAAATGGTTATTGTTTTGTAGGATTGTAAAAATTCAAACTCAGAAGTGTGAAATAGTTGAGGTTCACAAAGGTATTTTATACATAATGCTTTAAATTTGATTTGTTGCCTCTCAAGTTTCAAGATTTGAGATCATCCACAATTTGATTAGACTCTTTATATTTGTCAATGTAGAGGATGACACAGCTCTCTACTTAAATTGATTAGCTTAAAAAGTCTATTGACTGGTTGAGCTGGCCTTTATTTTTATTATTTTTAATATTTTTTTAAATGAGTAATGCCACGTGTTGATTTGATCTAAGCCGAATCATTCGCATTATGATGGGTTCCACTACTATTATATGCGCATGGATCCCCCAATTGCCCGATATAAATTTTCAAAATTTGAGATCATACATAGTAATTCTCTATATTAGACTCTTTATATTTGTAAATGTAGAGGTTGACATGACTCTTTACTTAAAAGTGATCAGCTCAACAAGTACGGCCTGAACTGGCCTTTATTTCTATTATTTTTAATATTTTTCAAAATTATAAAAAAAAAACTTATGCCATTTATCAATTATTATTTTTATATATGTAGAGTGTCTTTGCAAAAGCAGCTCTTTATGTTTTTTTTTTTTAGAAAATTGGCTTGTTGCTTTGATCTAAGCCGAATCATTCGCATTATGATGGATCCCACCCAATTGCCCAATATAATTTTTTTTTTGGTTCCTTAAATCAGTTAAAATATTCAAATTTTTTTTTGAAAACTTATATTCAAAATTTTTTAATTTCTATTAGAATTAATTACAATACTTTTTCACTTATAATTTTATTGTTTTGCCTTGTTAAAAAAAAAAAAAAAAACTTATAATTTTATTATTTTTATGTGTGTCTAATGTATGCCTGTGTGCATATTTAGTGAGAGAAACATTATTCCGTAAAATAAGGTAAAAATTGATCCACTTTAAGAAATTTTGGAAACATAATACGGCGCCTCCAAAGCAGCACAAAAGACGGCCAAAATCCCGATTGATTGGCGGGAATGAATATTAGTGGCTTAGATTACAGCCGCAATCAGCACTACTTCGCTCTAGGGTTTTATCACCAGCATCGACAACTAGGCCCATCAAGAAGATCCAACGGTTGAAATACCTTCACCTTCCCGCCCATTGTAGACCACCTTCTATTACTGTAAAGTGTTAACATTTTATACGCATTTAGGTTCCACACCGATTTCTATTACCATTTATATTTCTTTATTTTTTTCTTTTTTTTGTTCTTAATCTAACACTCCCAATTCCTTTTTCTATCTCTTTCCTTCTCTCACACACACACGCACAAATTCAAACACAAAATCACGTTATTCTTTTCTCAGTTTCAATCATCCATATAGGTTCAATTCGTTATCACATCTCGGAAATGGTTAGTTTCAATTTCGATTTTTCAAAACCATCATCGAATTTTATTTGTTTATTTTGTTCTTGATCTCAAATTCAGTTTTAATTTCAAGTATTTTCATGTGAATCTGTGAATTTGATGTTGAAGATTGGTTTTTGTTAGGTGGGTTGTGGGATACGATTGAAGAAGAGAAACCCAGAGTGGCTATCCAGTTTACTTCGTAGCAAATTTTTTCGTTCTTGCGTTGATCATAGAGACCTTCGAAAGAATGAAAAGAATGTGTTCTGCATTGATTGTACTATTTGCTTGTGCAAGCACTGTATCGTGGCTCATGACTTCCATCGTTGGCTTCAAATTTGTAGATATGTCTATCATGATGTAGTCCGCCTTCAAGACATACAGAAACATCTTGACTGCTCCAAAATTCAGGTCTAATTTCTCTCTCTACATCTATACAAATACATATATATATATATATACCCTAACTCATCTTTAATTAGTTAATTGTTTGATTTGCAATTATTATCAGTTAATTCCATGGGTTTTTGGTATTTTTGGGTCTTTATTCTTCTGAACTTGTTTTCTTAATTTTGTCTTTGAAATTAATGAGTGGTGTTCTAATAATATGATTTTGATTGATTTTAATCACATATTTTCCTTTCTGCTGTGTTTGATAGATTCTTACCTCTCTTTCTTTTATTGTGAAATTGATGATAGCATAATATATAATTAACTATAAGTTTTTGTGTTTATCTAATCAAATAATTACATTCCTAAATTCATTTCTGATTGATTTCATTACTTTTGAGTGTGTACCGCAATGCGATTTAGTCAAAAATTGTTATTTGTTTCCATTTACTTTATTGAATTGAATTCCTATATTCCTATTAGTAATTCAGTTTTTGCTGATTAGAGTAAATATGATTTCTCTTTAACAACTTAATAAATCATACATTTTTCTAAATATTGTCTTTTTCCCCCACATTTTCCCTCTTTTTGTGGAATTAATTTCATTAATGAATGAGTTGGTCGACGATTAGATTACATAATCTAATGGTGATTTGAATTCGCAGACATATAAAATCAATGGTGAAAAAGCTGTGCATTTGAATCCCCGGCCACAATCTAGAGATCCCAAACCATTAAAATCAAAGAGCGGCGCATCTTGTCAAGCCTGTGGAAGGTACATACAAGACTTGCCTAATCACTTCTGCTCCATCGCATGCAAGGTACAAAATGCGTAATGACCATGAACTTCTTGTTATTCATCGTTTTCTTCGTTTCAGTACATAATGCTAAATGTAGATGATTTGTCTATATGATGAATTCACAGTTTTCCAAAGCTCAGGAGATATCTGAAGATCCGATCCAAAAGTTGAGCTCCTTCCCTTTTCCACATATCGATTACCTATCCTTGAAAGACAGCGATGACACTGAAGGCAACACAACTGAAAAGGATTCATCTTTCTCTTTGAGCGATTCGTCTCAGGAGAATCATTCCTCTGTAAGTTCGGTATTGAAGCCGAAGAAGCAGTTGCACAAGAGGAAGGGCTTTCCTCGCAGAGCTCCTCTAAGTTAAAGCCTAAAACAAGCTCTAGGTTTTGTTTTACCTATTCACATTTTTTTGGCTTACGTTAAGGTATTAACACAATAAAACCACAGTTATAGTGCTCTCTATAATGTTTTTTCAAGAAGCTAAGTCACTCTCAAGTAGCCCCTATTTTCGGTTTTAGTTGGGGTTAGTTAGAGAGTGATCCCTCTTGTCTGTCTGAGTATATGGTATTAATGTGGTTGTACAGCATAAGGTTGGTGGCGGTGGTGGTGGTGGTGTTGGCTGTGGCAATTGCTATAAATACAAATGTATGATTGATATTCAACTTTTGTATCTATCCAAGGGTTTTTAATAGTTGAATTGGATATTCCTCATTATAATAAAATGTAATTTTGTTTTGTGTTTCTGTTTTTGAGCAATATATATGTGCTTCTCACTGTGTTGGCATGGGTTGTTGTTGCTTTTTTTTCCCTTTTCCCTTTTGCTTTCTTGCAGGGCGGTTGTGAATTGAGAGCTTTGTCTCAAACCTTTTATGGGATGATTATGGTCTTCTCGTTTCGTTGTTTTTTTTCTTTGGTAGTTGGTTTTGTTGGTCCCTCTGGTCCGATACCATGAGACACATATGCTTTGTTTCATGTTTTCATGTGAATGTGGCAGACAAAAGGAGCCCTAAAAGTTCTGATAGAGAATAGAACGAGGAAATTATGGCGAGCCAGCGATGAAGGGGACACTTCAATTATATGCATGCTGCACATGGTATGATGGCTTCACTTTTCTCTCTTTTTTTTTTATTCGCATGTCGGCTTTGGTACAGTCAGGTACAAATATAAAAATGTCCATATACATGCATTTTAAAGATTGCTTGTTTTAGTAGCGTAACGCTTGAGTTGTTAACTGTGTATTAATTCGAGTTCTGAGTACAATGATAAGTCGTTTCGCATAAATAGTGTAAAAAATAAGGTTTAATTTAGTGTCTTCCTTGGCATCCTGCATTGGTTTATCTGCAAAACTGCACATTCATCCATTGCTGATTGTTGAGAGATGGTTTCATTCCGTGAGTGAGTCTAAAAAATTTCATGCGACTTGATTTTAAATATATGAAAAGGTGGGTAAGATCATCAAAGAGAATGATGACTCACATGGTGTATTGAATCTCTTTTAGATTCATGTAGCAGTAGCATTTTGAAAGTCAGCATACATTTTTCGGTTTTAGTAACTAAACAATCTGTTTTTTGCGATTTGAATCTTTAATTTTTATTTTTGAAAGATGAAAAAGTACCATTAGCTAAGTAATTGGATATTAGTATAGTGATTTGTGTTTTTTAATTTTTTTTATTGTAAATTATTGATTGCATTGAAAACATGGTTTTGCCTTATATATATATCTTTATTTATTTATTACCCCTTAAATTAAAGACTAAAAATTGAAAAGGAAAAGAGTGGCCTGACATGTTGGTCAAAAAAGGCAGTGGAATAGAGGGCTGGGTAAGCATAAAGACATAATACTAATTTGGTGATGGGTTGAAATTTGGAACCGTGATTTAAGATTTTTATATATAGGTAGCAGTGACAACTGACAAGGAGCGGTTACTTCAGGTCACGATCAAACAGTACTTTCTTTTTTTATTTTCCTTTTTTATTATTATTTTTTTTATGATGGTAAATAGTAACGGTTAATGAACGTAGACACGTCAAATTTTAAAAAGTAAGACACGGATACGTTAATAGGTCAAATTTTTAAAAAGTAAGACACGAATACGACGTGGGCACAGTTACGTAATAATATAAATTTTTATTATTTTACATCTATTCAATACTAATATTATAAAATTTTAATTTATTTAAAAATTTTATATTAAGAGTTCTTCTAAAGTGAATTAGAAAATAAAATTATGTTATTATTGTATCATTTTTATATTATATATACCATTATTTTACTAGGTAAACTTCTATTAGAAATGTTCGAGAAGTGTCGACGAAGTATTCGAAAAATGTCTGTTCGGAAAGTGTCAGTGAAGTGTTCAAAATAATAAAATTAATTTTTATTTATAGACACGTATATGAAGTGTTGGACACGTATTCGAGAAGTGTCCGAAGAGTGTCGGTATCCGACACCGGTACGATACGGGTACGACTCTTTCATAGAAGTGTCCGTACTTCCTAACTATAGACCAATATCATTATACACTGTGGGACACAAAATTTCCTTAGCCTAGGGAGATTTAAAGCCCCAATCGTTGGAAAGTTCTTCCATTGAATTCGAAATGGAATATGGTTTTATCAGAAAGTTGGTGAGCCGAACTTTGTCAGCCCTCTGATGCATTTTTGATCTTATGATCTCATCCAAAATTGGATGTGCAGAGGAGGCCAAGCATTCTTCATGTTGTAGACCGAGAGCTTAATTGATCTTCCAAAGGTTTTTTTGTTTTTGGCGTTGACACATCTAAAAAGATGAACAAAATGACGACGACGACGATCAGTTGAGCATAGAGAACTATAGAAGATGATTAATCCCTGAAGCATTTTTGAATTGGGTAGTGATAGTTTGGCAGACGAGTTTGGCAAAATATACATGACAGTCCAGGTAATTAACTTTAATAATTAAAAAATAATAAAGAAAATAAAAGCAAAAACAATATACGCGCATATTCATCTTTCTTAGGCTGTCAATTTCTAGGCTAAGTTTTCTCTTCTGATAGATATTAAATCTCTCCCTCTTCGTTTTGTATCTTCAAACAATATTTCTTACCTTCTTAACTTGAGATAAATAACTTTTAATTATCTCTCTCAAAAAAAAAATAAAAAATAAAAAGTGTGAGAAAGAACTTTTGATTTTTAAAGTATCGTTGTAACTTCATATCATATATCATATTCATATATATTTATATATATTGTATCATATGTGTATTTTTTTTTGTTTTTTGGAAGGTAAGTATTTGTATTTATTTGTTTGATTATATTGTTTTTCACCGTCTTTAAAAAAAATTCAAAAAGCGATTAGAGAGAAATAAAATGAGAGAAAGAAAGTAAGGAGAGAGAAGAAATGAGAGAGAAAGAAAGAGAAGGAAGTGGCGGCTTAGCTGGACAAGCCACGTAATTTTTGCCAAAATAATTGGTCAAATACTTCGGTTAAAATATCATTTTTTCCTTTAGAATTTGTTGGATAATCAATTCAAACTGATTGCCAATAGTTCAATAATTTTTTATTTTGAGCAAAAGTTGAAATTGTAATCAATTAAAATAAACACAAAAGTAACCTATTTGAATTCTCTTAAAATGGGTCGGGTTGTATTAAATGGATCATGTCTTCATTAAACGGGTCTTCACATGTCAGTTGGAATTATAGTTTCAAAATTCATAAAATAATATAAATTTAAAGATTTCCCAAAGTTGTAGCATAAAATTCATAAAATAATGTATTGATTTAAAGATTTTTCAAAAAATGTCGTAGGATTTAACAAGCAGCTCAATTTTATCCATCCAAACTTGATGAGTTTTTAAAATAAACAACAGAAATAAAAATTGATCAGGTCCATTTTAACCCAGTTCATATCTGGCCTGCTTTAAGTAGGTTAAATATGTGGTGTGATATAGGTCCGACTTCTACCCAAAAGCAGCTATAAATGAAGTATGCATAAATCATGATTTCATATATAAACAATATATCAAGTCAGATATGAAGAGAACATTGAAATGCATTTTATCCTACATGTACATTGTAATCCTATCTATATTTTGAGGCTTGATCTTATCATTTGATAAGGATAATTTAAATAAGATAGCCTCGACTCGACATTCTATCCTACTTGTACAGTGTAATCCTATCTATATTTTGAGGCTTGATCTCATCTTTTGATAAGGATAATTTAAATAAGACAGTCTCAACTTGACATTTTATCCTGCATGTACATTGTAATCCTATCTATATTTTGAGGCTTGATCTCATCTTTTGATAAGGATAATTTAAATAAGACAGTCTCAACTCGACATTTTATCCTGCATGTACATTGTAATCACATCTATATTTTAAGGCTTGATCTTATCTTTTGATAAGGATAATTTAAATAAGATAGTCTAAACAGATTGAATAAAGTAGTTCAACCGTATTAACTAGTTTGAAATTAAACGGAGGCAATTGAGCTGATAACAACTATATCACAATAGTTTAAATTCAAAAGGAAGAATGCTCTCGAATATCTTCTCAAATCCCAACAAGTCACAATAGCTGTACCAAAATATTGTTATAAATATGACCTCTCACCAACCAAAGAATTCCTGCTTTTACTTCAGAGCTCTAGTAAATGACTTGATCGTCGGAGAGCTCTTGGTAGGCACCACACCGGTATCGATTAAGGTTCACCTCTTTGTTACAGGGAAACGGTGTTGTTCGGGATTGTGCATAATCATGCTTTAACAGTTGGCGCCATTTGTGGGAACTTATAGTGATTTCCCAAAGAAATTAGGGTTTTGTCACGATTCAATCTGAATGTCGGGGAAAATCTTAAGTATCGAGCCTCGCATTAGCAAGACTCACCCAAATTGAGCCTCGCGCTAGCAAGGTTCACCCACATCAAGCTTTTATTAAGGGCTCATCCATATCAAGCCTCGCAATGGCAAGGCTCATCCACATTAAGCTTTTGGCGATGGCACACCATATCAAGCCTCGCACTGGCAAGGCTCACCCATATCAAATTTTTAACAAAGCTCACCCACATCGAACATCTGATAAGGGTATACTCAAATCGAGCCTCACACTGGCAATGCTCACCTGCATCAACAAGGGTTTACCCAAGCCTCGCACTAGAAAGGCTTACCCAAACCTCACAAAGGCAAGGCCAGACTGCTCTATAAAGGCCAAGTCTCCCACAAGGGTAGGACCAGGAAGGTCTTCCACCAAGGTTAGACCAGACAGGTCTCTAACCGAAGTAAGACCATATAATTCTCTCACAAAGGCCACGTCGGTCTCCCACCAGGGCAAGGCTAGGAGGTCTAGTACGAATGACAAGTAGATCTTGCACCTATGTCATGCAGGTCTCCTACTAAGGCAAGGCCAACTAGGTCTCCCACCAGGGTAGGGCAGGTCTCCCATCACCCATCAAGGCCAGGCTAGACAGGTCTCCAACCAAGGCAGGGCCAAGTAGATCTTGCAAAAATGCCATGCAGGTCTCTCAATAAGGCAGGGCCAACTAGGTCTCCCACTAAGGTAGGGTAGAAAGGTTTCCCACCAAGGCTAGGCCAAACAAGTCTCCAACCAA